AGTAATGACTTCCTGATTGGTCCGATAAATGACTTGCCGCCCAGCTCCCTGATGTTCCAGTATCGGGATAGGCATCGGGAGCATTTGGGCGAGTAAGAGTACTCGCCCCAAATACTCAGTATTGGTGCATCCCTAACTACAAACCACATTTTGCTGTTCTCAGGGGGCACAGTTGAGGCCCCTATACCTTGGAAGATGACCTTCACTGCTTTAACCACTGCACAACATGCTGGGGCACATCAAGCAAGTCAGCAATACAATAATATACAACTCAAGCTGCCTCTCAGTTAGCAAAGTCTTTGTGACATCCCTGCAATCCTGGGCACTGAAAACAAGACAGATTTATGGTTTTAACAGGATGAAACAGATTAAAAAAGTCAGTTAAATATATTTTTCCCTATGATAAAGAGAAGAGAATTGTCCCCATTGACGACATACAATAATGGGAAATACACAAATCACACAATTGCAAACATATCAATATACTTACAAGTAAACCTTGATAAAACCTCTCTGAAGCCAGGCTGGGGACAGACAATCCATGATCTGAAGTCTTTTGGTTTTCCGGGTGCTCTTGAGATGCATCATAACCGCTGGCACTTGTTGAAGATCGCCCATCATGCAGAAGCTGAGAAGACTGAGGCTCGTTCCTTGTATTACATATGCTGAGAATAGAAAGATAAAAACACGGTCAATAAGCTTTATAGGAAACCCAAAACATTTTTTGTAATGAGAACATTGAGAGCCTTGAACTATTGTAATGCTGACCTGAGAAAAAAACAAACATTTCTACTTGACTTTCCCCTTTTTCCACATGAGGTATGAGGTTCCAGATTGTCATGAGGGTATTTCATATAAAACATTTACAGTTTTGTTTTTACCCACAATTAATGTTTTTCTGCTTCCTGGTCCTCTTGTGCATAAGTGATGTAATTGTGCCCAAGCATTGCATCCTGGGAAGGTTACATCAGCAGAGCATTGCTGGGAAATCTCACAAGATCTCAGGGAAAGGCATTTTCCTCCCAAGATGATGTGCATGGTCACATGTCCTAGTCACATGTGCCAGAGATATAGTAATCTGCCCTTCGTAAAAATGGCCACCGTGAGAAGAATGGGGAGGAAAAGAAAAAAAGGGGATGCAAAGAATACAAAGCCGGCAATTATCTATAGGTAGCTGTTTGTAGATTGTCCTTTTTAGATTGTAAGCTCTCACGGGCAGGGCCCTCCTTAGCATCTGGTCTTGAATTGTATTGTGATTGTAATGTCTTCCTTATATTGCAAAACGCTGCGCAAACTGTTGGCGCTATATAAATCCTGCATAATAATAATAATAATTACTAGACATATTTAAAAGGCGTATTTGTTATCATTAGAAGAAATGGGTAAAGTTCCTCTTTAACAGTACAAACTGAAGTGAGAAGCGAATAGGTTGCCATGGACAACGACCCCAGTTTTTGTGCACTCCAGTTTTGACAAATTCTCTCCATTATGTTTAAAAAGAGAACTATAGCCCAAGCTTTTTGGCCATAATTCTCTTAAGGATCACAAGACATATACTAAGTCCTCCTGTGACCCAAAATTCAGCTCCCGCACTCCAGCCGGGACGGATTCCACCAATATAGTCTGGATCCAGCCCGCTGGTTGATTGACAGGCAGGGCCAGCCCCCTCCCTCATCCATTCCTCTAGCGAGAGCTGGAGGAACTGAGAGGGGAGAATCCTTGCGGGAAGTGGTGACTAACCGTCATTGCTCACTGCGTGGAAAAGATCGGGAAATGAGTGGTCAGCAGTATGTGATCGCTCATTTCCTGATCTAGAGCCGACCTGCGACAGCTTCAGTGTCACACAAGGGCTCCAAATATGGGGGAAGTATATATTTTACTCACCACTTAACTCTCCTTTAGGCCTCATTCACACTGGATGTACACCCGTAAACAGCCGATCCCAGGAAGGACAAGTGCTGAGTGTGAAAGCTGCATATTCTGTAGCCAGCTTCAAATGTTGCCAGTCACTGAGCTATTGAGCAAAATCTGCTGGAACTGCTGTGGCAATTCAATGCGCCTGAGCTACAAAAACACTAGCAGCAGCGATTCTGCAGCCACTACATGAGGTCTCCTGACAAAGCCTTAAAAAGCAAGTTAATGATGATGCACAAATGCACTTGTATGCGTTTTTACACATTTAAAGTACAAGAAACAAAAAAAAAGTTTTCAGCAAGATAAATATAAAATATTTAATACAAATAGTTTACAGTGATCACTTGCAGCCAGCAGATAACACGGAGGGTGCAACTGGAGCTTTTCTGCTTAGTAATTTACTGCTATGCTGTGAATTGCCTGTGTATTTGACCTACTACTATTCAGAACTGCCTACAGACTGCATACAACAGATATGTAGTGCTAGGCTTTCTTATGAGAGAACCCAATAGCCTCTATAAACCTAAGGGCCGAACTAGAAGACGATAGCTGCTTTGTGTTATACTCAGCTGGGGTCGGCACATCAGGGTTCGCATATTATGTTCCATTTATAAAATGTGGCCTACTATGTATAACGTCGGTTGGTTCATTCATGGAGTTCCTTCTGCGTAACGCAGCAAACGTTGTGACATGCGGAGAGCCGGTCATGTGACTGTCTCCTCTCAGCTATTTTTTAATTACTATACTACAGTTAGGTTTCAGTCACTGCTACGTAGTGGGTGCGTTTTGAGATTCCTGTGGCAGGAATCCCAAAATGCCATTTAGAAGTTGCAGCTGTCATCCATTCAAGTTAATGATCAGGTGACAGTGGCTGCATTTGAAAGTGACAGTCCGCATGTAATTGTATGCAATATGATTACATGTGGTTAAAAGTAGATCACCATCCCCGTTAGCATCGATTGTCCCCTAGATCTAGCAATAGAACATTATACATGAAAAGGATGTGAAAAAACAAAAAAAAAATTAATAGAGTCGGGAGTATTAGTATTTTTTCTGTTTGTTGAAAGCATCCACCCAGTCCTACAGTCTGGAGCAGATAAGCATCCAACTGACATTTCAAGATGTGGGCGGAGAGGGAGGCATTGAACCATGCAAGAGGAGGCATGCGTTCTAATATATATACACATCTAGATATATATAGCAACATAAAAAGCTACAATAAAATCTGAGCTTGCAGTTTTACACAATTCCTAACTGTAGATTTTTTTTAATATCCAAACAGACAAGAACTTCTATAAGAAATAGTGGCTAGGAAAATATTGAGATGGTTTGGGCTTAAACGACACTAAACTCAGGACGTACATTTCAAAAATGTATTCAAAGTACCTTAACTATTAACAAAAATGTATCTTATTTGTGTATCACGCGGCTGTAGAACCTCAAATCATCTCTGAATTGGTGCCGACACTGTCCTTCCTTCTGGAGGGTGGCTACTTTTTGTTCCCCATGGTGCCTGCGTGTGTTGTAAAGTAGTCACCACTCCAAGCTCACTCCTGTGATGGACTACAATGCCAATACAAATTAGTAAACTAAACCTGAGATTGTAGTCCATCACAGGAGTGAGCTTGGAGTGGTGACTACTTTACAACACACGCAGGCACCATGGGGAACAAAAAGTAGCCACCCTCCAGAAGGAAGGACAGTGTCGGCACCAATTCAGAGATGATTTGAGGTTCTACAGCCGCGTGATACACAAAGAAAAATTCAAGTACTTTAACAATTAACAAAAATGTATCTTCTGAGTTTAGTGTCACTTTAATATTGATGAATTCTTAGCTTAAAGTGTGCATCACCTTGTTATTACCAGATTCTCCCCGATGTCACACACATCTGTAACGTAATTTTTTTATTCCATTACACGTCTATATATTCCATATTACAATGACAAAAATGTTCCTGTCCTTATGTCGCCTTATTCTGTAACTCGCAGATTAGCCTCGCCTCTCATATTGCCAAAACTACCCAAACTGGATACTCTATGTATGAATGTACTGAAGGTCACTGTAGAAACGGAATGGTGACTTGACTACTAGAAGTGCAAGAAAAAAAATTTGAATGAAAAAGGATTTAGAGCACACGAGATGGAATCACACAAGTGACAACAGCAACAGTCACTTACAATTGAAAATAGAAATCGAACGATGTGAACTTCTTCTTCGGTTGTTTTTTGTCTCCTTTTTGATCGACTCTTGCTCTTTATTCGAAAATATTTAGGACTACAGGATTTCCGCATAGATATTAGATTATTATTACTACAGGTTATTATATAGCTCCAAAATGAATGCATCACGTTATAGGACGACACATTCACATCGGTCCCCACACTCAAGGAGCTTACAATCTGAGGTCCCAATCTCCCATACATACACATACTGGGATCAACTTAGATAGGAGCCAACTAACCCTCCAGCATGTCTTTGCGGTGTGGGAGGAAACCAGAGTCCCCAGAGGACACCCACACAAGCACAAGGAGAACATGCAAACTCCGGGATTCAAAACGAAGACCCCAGTGCAGCAAGGCAGAAGAAGTGCTAACCACTAAGCCACTGCGCTGCCTAGATATTGGCAAAGCTTTAAATCAACCACAGCCATCCAAAACTTTCAAGCAATGCGGTCAGTTTTTCTTTCCGTGCTCATAGTAAATCATATGCTGCGGACATTCCATGTACCAATAAACACAAAGATGCATGAAAATGATGGAAACCCTTTACATTGGAAGATACATTTCTTGCCAATGCTTAATTTACCTTATATCACCAATGATCTTCACTAAGATTCCCCCACCATGGGTTTCATAATGCCTCCCATTAAGAGATCAACCATCCAAGTCTTACCCTTTCTGCTGCATTATATGTGGTGCAACAAGTGCAGAAAGATGTCAAGTGGAAGATCCCTTCATAATGATGGCTACAGGTGTGTGTGAAGCCAGAAATCTGCTGGGGGAGCATTTGCCTCTATAGCCCCTTATGATAACTTGCCAAGGTCAATCCACTGACGACCACCCAAAACTGAAGACTCTAATGTCTTTATTGAACACAGAAGTCCATAAAAAGCAAACCTCTCTAAAGACTTCCATTGCACATAGTCCGGGCACCATCAAATCACAGTCCAATATAAGAGTATAATGGTTAGTATGAAGTGTTTAGAGAAACCAGAGATACTCACGGCTGCAGTGCAAGAGGAGAATGGCCAGCACAGTCTGTCAGCTGACTGCTCTCTGCAAAGCTGTACATGTCCACGGATTTTAAGGAGGAAGTGATGGTGGTGCTGCTTGTATCTTGCTCATTGTTCACAGCAGCAGTCAGAACATTACATAGCTCAGACTCATCCTGTTTGTTCAGGGACTCCTCTTCCTCAGGACATGGTGGGGGGTTCCAATACAGACTCGCACCTACAAGTAGAGACACAACATAGTTCAGCATTTCTCTCTCTCTCTCTCTCTAAAAAAAACACAGTAAAAACCTCTCTTATCCAGAATTAAAAAAACAAACAAAAAAAAACTGAACTCTCATCTAACCAGAAAATAAAAAAATCCTGTGTACTCATTGGTCTGCAGCATGTATTATCCTGGAAACAATTGTGTGTCTATTTGTCTTAATTTGCTTTTGATTACTGCATTTCAACATTAATATAAAGTCAATACAGAGTTTATGTTATGGTATAGTATGGGGTATGGCATTGGTTAGACCGATTTTTAATAGTAACTATGAAGCAACCAGAAACTACCAATCCCTGTGTTTGCTGGATAACGGAGAGTTTAATGTACATATAAGCACTGGCTGAAAAAACAATCAGCGACTGGAAACATATTTAAGGCAGAGCTGGAGAATTCCCAGGTAGCCAATGATCCTTTAAAATCCAGCTGGTGCCTAACTGTTGAGGTTTTTTTTCTAATTGTCATCTATGGAGCTGGCGCCTGAAAAAAAAAATCCTGCTGGCTCCTGTGATGTTTAGATTACTGTAGATGTATAAACCTTCACTTTATCAGGAGAGCAGAGGTCATCTGAAGTGACAGTTGCTGCTACCTAACCTACAGCATTGTGTCCCAGCTCCTGAGAGTGCATAGCAGAGACAAATCACAGTATTGTATTCAATAGGCGAGTGAATAACCAGATTGTGTGATTTGGCACAGAGCTATAAGAGCTGGGATGCAGCATGCAAGGTCCGGTACTGAATAAGACATCAATGGTGTCCTGTGCTCCTGACACTCAAGCTGAAGAGTCAGGCCAAAACTAAAAGGAAGAAATATTACATAAGTAAGCCTGAACACTCAAATTCGTGCACACTCCCCAATCTAGACTGGTCTTCTTTGGGTCAAGCTGGTCATCCAGGTCCCCGCTGCCTAATGACCAGCCAATGGGATGATGATACAGGCATAAGATGTTATTAGAAATGTCCCCATTATATACAATACATAAATCGCCATGTATAACTTTAATGGGTGCTGAAGTGGGCAACAGCTGGCACTGCAAAACCAGAACAAGGTCACCAGCACACCAAGGTCCACATTAGTGATCCATCCTTTATTGACGTTTAGATACAAATGGTGTCACAAATGCTAACGTTTTCGGAACCCTATATTCGGTTTCTTCATCAGACAAAGCAGTGAGAAAGGCATGAGATGGCGACGCAGGGGCACAGGCATGAGATGGCGACGCAGGGGCACAGGCATGAGATGGCGACGCAGGGGCACAGGCATGAGATGGCGACGCAGGGGCACAGGCATGAGATGGCGACGCAGGGGCACAGGCATGAGATGGCGACGCAGGGGCACAGGCATGAGATGGCGACGCAGGGGCACAGGCATGAGATGGCGACGCAGGGGCACAGGCATGAGATGGCGACGCAGGGGCACAGGCATGAGATGGCGACGCAGGGGCACAGGCATGAGATGGCGACGCAGGGGCACAGGCATGAGATGGCGACGCAGGGGCACAGGCATGAGATGGCGACGCAGGGGCACAGGCATGAGATGGCGACGCAGGGGCACAGGCATGAGATGGCGACGCAGGGGCACAGGCATGAGATGGCGACGCAGGGGCACAGGCATGAGATGGCGACGCAGGGGCACAGGCATGAGATGGCGACGCAGGGGCACAAACAGGCATGAGATGGTGATGAATGGGCACAGGCATGAGATGGCGATGCATGGGCACAGGCATGAGATGCTGACGCAAGGGCACAGGCATGAGATGGTGATGAATGGGCACAGGCATGAGATGGCGACGCAAGGGCACAGGCATGAGATGGTGATGAATGGGCACAGGCATGAGATGGTGATGAATGGGCACAGGCATGAGATGGCGATGCATGGGCCTTCTAGTGCTGCCTCTCCTTTTTCCCACTCGAGTGTTGTTATATAGACAGAAGACCAATGTAAAGTCTATGTCCAGGCCAAAATAAAAAAAAAATGCACTAAAGCATTGTCACTCTGGAGGAAGAGGCTGGGAGTGGTATGCGATAGCATCACGTCATCAAGTACAAATGCATTTCTCCACCCACAGTTCTTGCCCAGGAGACTACAGATAAGATTATAGCAGTCACATGACCGCTACTAAAATGACTAGAATAAGGTATTGGAAAAGCTATTTGTGCACTTTTAGTAACAAAAAGTTGTTAAAATATTTTTTGTTGCACCACTGGGGGTTCCTGGTGCAAATCCCGGTCAGGACACTATCCGCATGGAGTTTGCATGTTCTCCCTGTACTTGCGTGGGTTTCCTCCCACACTCCACAAACACATGCTGGAAGGTTTATTAGCTCCTGTGTAAATTGGCCCTGTATGTGTGCATGTTAGATAGGGACCTTAGATTGTAAGCTCCTTGCGGGCAGAGACGGATATGAATGTGCAGTAAAGCGCTGAGGAAACTGTTGGTGCTGTATAAAACTATAAATACCTGTAATAAATAATGTGCCTCAACTTTATTTATACTTTATACCTGCTTTAATTTTAAAGGAATATACACAGCGGCAGTAATTTTTTTTTTTTTACATCCCCTTTATGATCAGTATGCAAAGTAACCCCTCACAGCTATACTATGGAATACTCTTGTGGTGTGACAATTGCTATAACAAATAATCTTTAACATGCGCATACACACATATATATTTATGTATAAAAATAACAAATGCTCTCCAGATCAGTCTGAATCATGCAGGTCCACAGGAATGGCGAGCGACAAGTAGTGACTTGGCTATAGAGCCAACCAGGTCACAACACAAATGCTGCAGGCTGGGAAACAATGGACTATAGTGCCATCTAGTGGACACTTCACAACTACACACATTTATAAATTTCTCCCAAGATTTCTAGTTGGGGAAAAAAAAAGTGTAAAAGTTGTGTGAATATTGTGTAAGAACATTACAAATACACCCCAAGGTATATTTTATCCCTACAAAAAAAAAAAGTAATATTGCAGCTTAGCAGTCCTTAGATGTGGTGGCTGCATTTTTTTTCCGGGGGCCATTCACACTTGTGGGTTGTGGCAACGTGCACATTAATACACGTTGCCAAAAAGCATGGTACCACACCTGCAGGGCCATTTACATGACCCACATGCATTGTACAGTAGAGCGCCTTGCACTACAGTGCACCACAACGCACAGTGGTCTTGCTTGCTTTTTTCATGCCTTGTGGTGCGTTGGCAGCTCATTCATAAAGAACCGGTGCCATAACACACGTGACCACAACGTGTGTGTACAACCTCCATAGGAGCTGCAGCTAACGATTATTTTCAAAATCGATTAGTTAGCCGATTATTAAGTTCGATTAATCGGTTAATCGGATAAACTATAAAATAAAGTTTAAAAAATGGCTCCAGTGATAGGACTACTAGTTTGTATTGAGGTTGTAGTCCATCACAGGAGCAAGCTTGGAGCGGTGGAAGTAAAAAAGAAAAAAAAGATAGTGTGGTGTGCAATATAGTAAAATGGAAAGTATAAAATTATACAGCAATGCATGCAGAATGGCAACGGCTATAGAGGAATACAACAAATCCCAGCAATAGTACATAAGTTGGTGGTATTCTGCATTGCGCTGTATAATGTATTATTGCTGGGACTTGTAGTCCTCTATACAGCGCAATGCAGAATATCACCAGCTATAGAGGAGTACAACAAATCCCAGCAATACATTATAGA